CAGTGACTTCAAGCCATTAGAATTTGGGTCCCACCTCCAGCTGGGTTAAAGACGCAGTTTTTGCAATAGAAATGAAAGCAAAGCACAGAAAACAACTGATTTAGAATTTACTGAAAATGTTGCTAACATTCTTTTGGATGGAATTAGAACAACGGTTGTTGGGTAGGAATTTGTACTGTTTTAATGCATGTTTGCTTTCTTTCCGCTCCATGATTTACTTTGTACTTTGGCTATTCCAAAACACAAGAAGTCTCTCATATTTTCACCATATTAGGAAAACTGCTAAGTAAAATTGCCCCCAGCATTTCCTACCCATCTAGGAACTTGGAAAGTGAGTGAATTAATGCAATCTTCTGCTTTTGCCAAACGCACAAGCCAGGGCCTGAAAGAAGTTTGCTCAGGCTGCGGAGAGAAGAGAAGGAGGAACCAGCATCAGAAATCAGGTTCCTGGATAGCCATCAAAACTTCAACAGGGTAATCAGACAGCAATCCATTTGCAACCAAGGGAAGATGCTGAAAGCCTGTAAAAGAAAAGGGCAGTGGGAAAGTCAGGGTTAATTCTTTAATATAGAAGACAGAGGAGAGGATTGAAAATGATTAGAAGGTCAAAGTAAGGGAAAGAGAGAGTCAGGGGTATGGCAATGAAGAAGAGGATGGATTTTATTTAACAATGTGCCACAGAATAAAAAGAAGGCTATTTTGCCTCTCTAGGCTGCAAATCTAAGATATGTCTTTACATATTATGCTAATCATTATGCTGGGCAAATGTTCTCTTTTCAGGACTTACAAAAGCTATGTCTGGAACGAAATAAGAGGATTTCTTAGCAGCCGTGGAAGGGAATAAGAGTTAGGATAATAATAGCTCCTTTTCCGGTTTATCCCATATTAAGAAGCTAAACAGTTCTCACCCCAGGCACAGTTAATTTTAAACCAAGGATGGCTACTCTTCACAGCTTAATCGCTATCACCATAGTTAAACTTTGTCAAGGGTTTTATCTAAAATCACTTTGTCTGGGAGACTTCATGTCCTGGGAAAGTCTCCAAGTTGTGTTATCTCTAGAAAATGAAGTAGCCTTGAGCCACAGCAGACAGACTTGCCTAACAACATCCACTAAATTGCTTCCAGAACTGATGAACGGTGGTCTCGTCCTTGGTCTCTGTTTGTATGGGGGTTTCCTTCATACTGTCATTGGTCTTCAAGCAACTGGACCAGACCTGGCTCCTAAGAGAAATATGACTACTAAAGAGCAGGACCTTCTTGTTCTTTTTGCAGCTTGAATGTAATCTTGTGACCTTTTATGTGCTCTTAGATTCTCAGAAATCTATCCAAAAAAATGTTTGTTTCTCTGGATAGCCATGACTATAGTTCATTGTTAAGAAAACCTTTTCTCACTGTTGAATTGAAATGCTGTCCACCCATCCTTGTGTCAGCAGAAAACTATACAAGATTAAATTTGCTGCCCCTTTCCTATCCTGCCTTGAGTCCCTCTGTGTTGCTGCCAGTCTGCTGACTTCCCTCCAAATATAGCGGGTGACAATGCTTAAGATTTTACACACTTTGAGGCTGTCCCTAGATGATGCTGAAATAAGGAGGAAACATTATTTTAGCACAAGTGCACTTAGGTAAGGCTTCTCTCTTATGGGCTGGGGAGGATGAAGACAACATCACAGGGACATTATTTTTATTTAAATGATGTATATGGCCACCCATCTTACAACAGCGACTCTTGGCATACAAAGGTTAAAATGCAACCATTAAAACAGGATGAATAAAACAGGTTGCCAGGACACATTTCTGACAGATGGCAACAGACAAGTGCCTAAACTTTTGTAACCTGTGTACACAGTGGTACTTTGCTAGACTTGTAGATGGGCCCCTACTTTGTACAGATTATTTTCTATTTTTAAAAGCAGCTATATGTTCCTTAAACAGAACAGGATGAAACCTGCTTTTAATGGACTAATTGGGAGAGGGGGTGTCGCTGTTAAATATGAAAGCACATCATTGCAGCAACTGGCGTCGTTTAGGGGATGCTAAAATGACCCAGATGATGCAAATCGCATCACTTGCAGCAAATGATGCCTCTTGCATGGTGCCCAGGTGACAACATTATATGAACAACTTAAATTGCTGTGGAAATCTGAACTTTTGTATGCAAAGTCTACTATATCAAGGTTCACTAAATTGAGGTTTCACTGTATCATGAAAAGGAATACTCTGTGGAAAGTCTTATTCCCCAAATCCCTTGCTTTTAGATGTTTCTTCTTTCTCTTCACACTCCCAAGGCCTTCCCTAGTTTTCAGCTGTACAGAACAAGGACAGGCTGGCTGGGGATGATGGGTGTTATTATCCAACACGTCTAAAGAACAGCAGGCTGGATATTTGTTTTAAAAGAAGAGAAGCTTTATGATATCTGAAAGAATGAGGAGGAGGAGGACTGGACCCCACTACATTTACTGAACTTCATGAACACTGGTTTGAGTTGTACCTCTTCAATAAAGAATTCGACAGCTGCATAATAAGATGATTCAATGTGAAATAATGAATAGATGCATGGTGAAGTGGAAATAAGCTTACTGGATACATCAACAGCCCCTCCCCACTCAGCCAAAGCTAGAGCAGAATCTGCAGGTAGATCAGCCAAGGTTTCTACTTCTTGATAGTTAAAAAAAAGCAAGAACAATGGGGGTGGGAGTGGAAGTATGAAAAAATGTCCACCTCTGAGCCTCAATGTTCTTCTGCTGAAAAGGAATGTGAATAGATTGCCTTTGTACAGTTCTTCGGGCCATTTCAAGGATACTCAATCTGTGGCCTTTCAAATGGAGTTTTGTATATACATCTATATAAATCGGCTATGTAAATCAAATAAATAAATTTGGAAAATCGAAGATGAAGCTCATGGAGTACAGAAGGGCTCTACCATCTTTCTCCACAACCATTAGTTTTATTTTCTGATCTTTGTATTTTGTTTTTTGTTTCTAAAGTAAGTAAATCTCAGAAGTCTGAACTCTGTATAGCACCTAAAGCATCCATGATCTACAGGGCTTAATTTCTAGCCAGAGTTCACAGGCAACATGTCTGCTCTCCATTAGTAATTTAGTTTGATTGGATGAGACCAGACACAAGAGCTGAGTCTCTGACTTATGAATACTGTAACAATGTTGACTTATATTGATAGGGGCTGCAGAAACAGGAGCTCAAGATTAAAGCAGGAAAGGATTTAAGGATGCTATTCTGGAGTGTCCCAGCAGAGGGCAGTATTTAGCTGGCCTGGTCTGATCTCAAAAAGCTAAGCAGGGTTGACCCTTGTTAGCACTTGGATGGGAGGCCATCAGGCTAGACTGGGAAGAATCCCAAAAGACAACAAAGACAATTAATGTTCATATGGTAATAAGACTCGATGGATGAAGAAGTCAAGCTCAACTAGAGGGTGAGTTATTGTTGTTGTTATGACGGTGATGATGGAGTAATTGAAAACTCTGTTCAACTTGTAAGTGACTTGAATAGGCAGTGGAGTTTACTCTTTTTAAAAATCCCAGATAATTGCATTTAGATGTGAAAGAAGAGCTCATTAAAATTCTGGCTGTAATTGATTTTGAATGACTGGAAGTGGGCAGCAGAGAAACACAGAAACCCCCCTTTGCTGTCCTTTAATAGTAATCAGGTTATTTACACCCCAGATATGACAGTCCTAAGTACAGGCTACTTATCCTAAACTCTAGATAGAAATGCAGTCTTCAGAACATCTGCGCACCCACTTCATTCCAAAATCGGAGCTCCTTTTAGACAGAAAGGTTTCAAGTAACACTACTGTGAAAATGATTTCCTTTCAAAATTCCTTCATTCTCTTTTTCTCAGCCCCACCTTCCCCTGCACACTTTTTCCAGCCCTATGACGGATCATACCCAAGCACTGGTTGTGCCTGGCGTGCCATCAAATCTCCCATTCTTGGCAGGATGGGACAAAGAAATACTCTAGCCTGGAGCAAAAGAATTGCATGCTCCCTGGCTCTCAGTCTGTGTTTGTTGATCACCTCTGCATGGAAGCCTTGGGCCTGGGGCTGTCTTCTTCCTTGTCTTCTTCAGGGTTTGCCAGGCCTCCTCTATACAAGTTTTGCCTTTTCCATTTAGGTGATAGAGCCCCTGGCCAGATAGTGCTTGGCTGTGGCATTGAAAGGGCCCAATTCCAGAGGAGGAGCGGCTTTCTTGCCCAATTAGTGTGAATCTATGCAGCAGTTTTTGATGGGGTCAGATGTTACGCAGGTAGGAGAGAACCCAAGCCACATTGGTTCTGTTCTCACAGCAGGCAGAGAAAACAGCTGGATCTGCTCTAGGGCAGGACATGGAGAACGGGAGCTGTTTTATCTAGCTCCCAATTCATTGTGGTAATATGGGAAATCGCTGTCAGGCATCCCTTGAATTCACTTCCTAAAGTCAGGGTTGGAGAGGGGGGGAACAGATTACAGAGCCTGAATCATTCTTCTTGTTTTGCAGTGATGTTTCGGTTAGGTTTCAGTGTCGCTTTACCTCCAAACAGAGTAGCTGAGGAACGTCTAAAGCTATAAACAGTCAGCCACACAGAACGAAGCATAATTCAGGCCCTGACTCAAATTGACAGGGACAGGTTGAGCTGCGAAATAATCTCTTTATATAGCAGATGCCCATCTTCAAAGTCATTTCTTTGTCCCCTCTCAAGTCAGAGGACAGTTTGCCGCCGGACAGTTTACCAGGTACCCTCCGGGCCTTGGCTGCCCATCTGGCAGCATTCTGAAGAGCAATTTTTTTCCTGGGAATAAAATAAAATTCCCCGGGAATCCTGCCGTTCAGGGATAACCAAGAGGCTGCTATGAATTTTGCTGCACAGCTGTTCTACTCCAGAGCTTTAAAAAATGGATTTCTCAGGGAAGGCATACGAGAAGAAAAAGAATACGATCCGTTCTGGCAAAGGTTGGAGTATGTGATGTAGAACTTAGAATGTTGCTTTTCCTCCTTTAGAAATTATGGACAGTGCCAAGCTTGTGCCTAGAGCCAAATCACTGGCTGTTACCTCCCATGGATCCTACCTGCCTTCTTACAGTGCAATAGTGGGAATACTACTTCGCTTCTTTATTTATTTCATTGCCATACTTTATAGGTAATCACCGTTATATGATGATCAACCTCTTTTGCTTCTCACTTCTGATTCTCACAGATAGCCCAAATATTGCAAAGAATGGATAAAATCCATTTAAAATCTGTCTTCCTTCCTTCCATCCCAAAGAAATTGTTAGATGCATGGCAGGGGTTAGATTTCCCAGGGGTTAGATTCGTTGTTTGTTGGTTTAATGCCGTAGAGTATTTTATGTGATTTTCCTCCTAGTTTCTGTGGTTTGTATCTTCTAACTTCTTGATGCAAAGATCCTGCTGCAAATGAAATGAAAACAAGGAGCCATGTCATGGACTATGTGTTTTACATGCATGCCTTAATGTTCTGTATCAGTGTTAGGAGATGCAGTTTATTTGGACAACTGATTATGGACTGGACTCAAAGCTAGTTGTATTAGTTGCAGGAACAGTTCTATAATATTCTATAATAGAAATCATAAATAAGTTATATTCAACAAAGGGATCCAGGTTGACTAATTCCATTCCTTCCTGATGTTGTAAAATGCCTTCACACCCTCTCTTCTTCTAGCAGATAACAAAGCAACATTTTGATAATATTATAAAACAATACAACCCTTTAAAAAATAACTACAATCTGAGTCAGTAATCAATAAAATAGTTTTTAAATAGCAGCAAACGTTACACCACATAAAGCTTATACAAAATAGGAATAATTATGTCCGAATTTCATATGTTAAGAGAGAGAAATATTTATCAGATATCAAGACTGAAAGCAATAAAACGAGCTGAACCAGCCGAGGAGTATATTTTGCTTAATGCCAGAGAAGCTCTGACAAGTCTTATCAATGTTAGCAAATAAGACAAGCAAATAATCTATTAATTGCCCTTGAATTTCTCCACTATCAAATTACATGTTTTTTGAAAGTAGCTTTTACCATTATTTTATTATAAAAAGAGAAGATGGATAATGGTAGAATTTTTTTTTCTCAAAGGAAATTAATAATTCATCCTTCTACTGTAATGACAGATCCAATTTTGACATGCCTAATTACATCCTGGACCTTGCCAATGCTTACAGTATGTGCACATATTGCATAAGAATGACAAAATATACTGTTTGATTATGTGTTGAACTGCCAGCTTCCATTAAACAAGACAGCATTGACCAAGTTGCTGGTGTAGATAGGAGTTGCTACTCAATCCAAAAAGGTACCAGGATTTGGGGAGAAAACTGACATGGAATACTTCTGGGTGACCAGATGTTCCATTATCCTAATCTTGCAAATATAGGGTTAACTCCACCTGTTTAATAGTGTAATGCTTTTGCCTCTACTCCAGAATGCATAAAACTCTGTCCTAGTCATTTCAGTAGTTGGCAAATACCAAGACATTTGTTAGCCAAGCTGGCCAGTCAATGATTGTCACTGCTACCTGTCCATAAGTCCCTCCCATCTTGAATCTGTGCACACATGTATCCTTGATCTGCCCCAAACCCCAAACCCCAATCTTCATCTCCCCCTCTGTCAGGCCCAGCCCAAGAACAATGGTGAAACAGTCCAGTTGAGTTCAGTTCCTTTATTTGCTTACATGTTATAGACAGAATCTTGCCAGACTAAATCTATCCTACTGCAACTAGTGGATACACCCTGGGATATTCCAGGGAGTGGCTCTCCTGAACCTCTTTCGCTTCCCACGCTCCCCCTGCGGACTGTGTTGTCTCTTGTCTCCTTTCCCTTCCTGGAATGCACCCCCTCCTTCCTGATAGCCTCGATCTCTGCTTCTATCCCCCATAGCACCCTCCCCTTCGTGGATACATTCCATCACACCCTCCTCTGAAAAACAAGCAAAGAATTCACTAGATGTTCTGGGAGGTGACCGCCAACCCTCTCTTAAAAAAAGAAAAGGAACATCAAGCTTATTGCAGAATTATGAATCCTTAATCACAACTATGATGTGCACCAAAGCCATGGTAGACTAAACTCTCTTTTCCTCTAAGTTGTTCTCATCAGTATGCTTTCTGGAATGTAGCTACTTCAGAATGAACAGAGAGGTGGAAAGTGTAGTTGAAAAGTCTCTCTAGTGAAGAAGTAGCACACCAGAAATGCACCAGAGAGCATATTTCTCTTGACTTGGAGATATCCACAAGGAAAATAAGCTGTCTGTCCATTTGCGACTTGTATTGTGCCTCCACCAAATCACAGGGAATATTTCCATCAGGAAATAGGGGGGGGGGGGGGTCCCTCATGTGTGGAAGCCTTCCTAGAGGGAATGGGTAGATTTCAAGGAGGAAGAATGTACATTCTTGGGAGGAAAAATGAGAAATAAATCCCACCCTGATTATGATGTTGCAAAAATATCAGGAGCACAGGAAAAAAAATTCTGGAAGAGCGCATAATAATGTATTAAATACTACATAGAGACTCTAATTGGTTTTTTTAAAAACATTTCCTGTTTATTTCTTAAATAAATAAAGCAATGATTCATTAGTTCTAAAAGGGTACTCTTGTGTGGAAACATCTTTGGATCTTGTTAGATACAGTATATACAAGGAGAAGAAGAATGACTGCTAATTTGGTTTTATTTCCTCAGTTTATTTTATTTTGTCATTATTTTTATATAAATATATAAATGGCTTTTCTCTGTTTTTGTCCCTAGCTCTGGAAAGATGTTATTTGCAAAAAAGTAGGTTTTAAAATCCCATTGCTTGGCTTATTAATCCCACTAAAGCTAGAATGCAAATGTGTGTGTGTATGTCAAATGTTGTTAACATTTAAAATAAAATAAGATAAAAATTGTTCCATATAACATATGAAAAATATGCATGTAATTCTAATTGCATGTAGAAAAGAACTCAAATTGTGATTCTAGGCACAATCGCTTGCAAATGAGCTCCGCTGAATATGTATAAAAAATACACAGGATCCCACTAATAGCATATGTTGAAACGTACAAGATTCTGGTCCCATAGTAAGTATTAATAAAGTTCAGCAGAAGGGAGGCAATAAATATATAAAAATAAGCAATGTATATGGCAGCCTGTAACCTACCTGGAGGGTCAAGGTTGAACCTGGTTAGTACTTGGTTAGGAGGCCAGGAAATCCCACGGCTGTAGGTTATACACTTCTGTTTTCTTGCCAAAAAACCTTCTATGGCCATGTGGCCACCAGGAACAGAGTTGGGCAAAGTCCTCCCTGGAGTGTTGTGTTACTTCTGGGTGGGCTGAAAGGTAGAGAGGAAGATACCCATCTACCAGAGGTAGGTGACTCTGCATCATGAGAGGGCTAATCAATGCTTGCTTACCAGATAGTAATTCAGTGCCTTAGCCTGAATTTGAGCTCTGCACACAATGCCACCACACCAGAATTCTGGAACTTGGGAGGTAAGGGAGCCCACAATGAACCTTCAAGCACAAGGAAGCAGTGCTTTGCTGCTTCCATGGTGGCAAGTTCCCTACCCTCAGTAACAAAACATCACTATGCCTTCATGTGGGAGGGGCCTTAACCCTAAAGGTACCATTAAATTTTCTGCTACAGCTTCACATTCCCCAAACCTGCCTGTTGGCTCTCCCATGGAGAGCAGAAGTTGCAGAGACATGGTCCTCAAGCCTTCTGTTTTTTTCAGGTTCTTCCTACCCACTTCAAACAAGGGTCAAAGGAACTAGGCAGAAAAGGTAAAAATTTAACACCCTGACCTTAGCTGCAGAACATATCTTTCTGGTCTCTAACATTGACATATACAGCTCAAGGAGAATTGCAAACCATGAAGTTCCTGAAGCACTGGAAAGAGAAGAAGTTAATCCACTACTTAGAAACTGATCAACAAATGAAGCGTTTCTTGGTGGATCTCTCATAAAATGTTTTTACCTTGCTGCATGTAATTTATTCATTTATTTAAAGCTGTGGCACTTTGTTTTCATAATTTTCTCATACAGTATTCATCTCTCCCAACCAACCGACTCATTGCCTGCATGTATATTTGTATGCATTGTGACAAATGAACCAATGAAGAACATGAGTGAAAATCTAGGCCCTGAGTACACAATTTTCTCATATCTCCCATGATTGGATTTTAAACTTGGTGAATCTTTCATAACACATTTCATTCCCACTTTTTCCTTAGGGATGAAAGTAATGCAAAAGACCTAGAGGCACCTGTGCGTTCTGCATTTCATTGGTATAAGGATAGGAAAGTAAGAAATGGCAGTGCTGAGCAAAGGAGACCGTCCATCCACCCAGAGAGACTGAAAGATTTTGGCGAGGAAGAGGATTTAAATGGGACAGTAAAGACATGGGACATGAAGATAATTAGCCATGATGAGGAACAGATGAATGATTCTGCCACCTGCCCAGATGGGATTAGCATGCCAGTTTACAGTAACTGCAAAAAAATTGAAGATATCAGTGCTGCAGCGTTTAAAATCCAGCATGGAGTCCTGAAAACCCCCTGCACGGTATTGTTCTTTGTTGTTTTTCAATGCCAGTGAAGTTCCAAACCATTTTAGAAACCAGTGACTTGCAAGCCACTGTGCCGATTGCAAAAGTTATGTTGTAGACCCTATGGACTGGATTTGCTCTTGTCTACCCAAGATCATAGGCATCTGGGACATACAGTAATTTACACCACTTGAGCAATGACATCATGGCACATATGACATCCCTTTCCCACCCTGCAGATGCCACCAGACAAGGTCCTCTGCAGGATATATCCAAGAGGAACCCCTTTTCTTCAGCTTTATTTACAAACCCCTGTGATCTTGCAAACCTTTGTAATGTGCTCTATATCCCTCCATTTTTTTCTCCTGAAGGTTGTTCTCATTAATTGCCACTTCAGGAATGGAGCTATATCAGACTGAGCAATTTGCTCAGAGGCAGGAAGGGTAGCTGGCTGTATTGATGAAGAAATAAAGCCTGAGAGAACTGTGCCCCCAAACACATTCCCCCCAATACAGTGGGGTGGAGAGAAGAAGCTGGTTTCCTGTAGCTGAGAATCAGCCAGATATTTTGCTTACTTGCATCACACCAGGTTGATATTATGTGTGGTGGACCTCTATCTTTTAACCAAGTTGCTCATCACCTCACATGGATCTCTGATCAGTGCGGTTAGCTATGATTTCTATTTCTCTCTGACTACAAAAGGTGGGGACTGAGATATAGTAAAACCTCAGTTTTCCACCTGAAGCAACTCAGATGATGGAATCTGTGTCAATTTACATCATTTGTGTGATGACCTCAACACACAAATGACACAAATGTCATCATTTGGATTTGATTCAATGGGTTTTGGGGAAATAATGGACAGCCATCTCCACCAATTAGTCTCTTAAAAGGCAGTCTTATTCTCCTGTGCTGTACTGCGGTCTTGCTTATTTTATAGGGGAGAAACTGCAGACCAACCAAGAACTTATTTTAGCTTGTTTCCTGCCTTTCCATGCTGCCCAATTATAGTTTTGCTTTTAAATGTTTAATTTAAGGGACTCTACTCACAATAAACAGAAACCTTGACATGAGCAAATTATATCCTTTTTTCAAAGGCTAAAGTCAGAACTGTATATCACAACACGCTTCTGTTAATTTGAAATTATAGTTTACTGCCAATTCCAAACTAAACTTCTAATCAGATCCAAACCGTTCTTATCTCTTGTTTATGTTTGTTTGGGAGGCTCTGAGAGGGTTGGTTGCATTGCTGGAGTTCTCTAAGCTTGATTTGGGGGTTGCAGAGCTTTCTTTACCCTTCTAGGTAGCATCTTCAGTGCAGGTAACATCGTGAACATAATGTATCCCCATTAAATTTCACTTGAAAGGACATGTCAACCCAGCAGCAAGACCAACATTGCATCCCTCAAACTCTCCTCTCCATAAAAGGCAACTTAGAGCCCATTAGCACGCTGCTCCAACCATTTGGAACACCCATAGTGTTAACAAAACCCTTACAAAGTGTACTAACCAAGCCCAAAGTACCAAAGGAACACAAAATAAGAATCATCTGCAAAGTTAAATATAAGAACTGCAGACACCCTACATAGAACAATCAGGCAGAGAATTAGCAGAACGTATCTATGAAGAACCACCAGTTGTCAAAAGACACAGCATTGGTTCATGAATCTCCTGCCACACCAATAATCTCAGGCATAATTGAGAAAGAGCAGAAATCTTAGAACAGGCCAGATGGAGAAATGCAAGAGAATTCCTAGAAGCATGGCACTCAGCTAAGTAGTGATCGACACACATATACACCCTACCTACGGAGCTATCAAAAGTTAGAAGCAAGGACCCAATATTACTGTATCAGCTCAGTACACAATATTTCTCCTGCCACACAGCAAACAACCACTACCTGGATAAACTAGAGCCATTGCCTTATCAACTTAATAACCCAAACCCAACTCCAAAAATCACAGCAAAAGAACTAGGCCTTCCCAATGATCTATCCCAGTGTTGTCCAAACTTGGCCACTTTAAGATGAGTGGACTTCAACTCCCAGAGTTC